AATAAAAGTAAAGAAGAAGTAATATATATATATATATATATATATATATAGAGAGAGAGAGAGAGAGAGATTTTTGAGCATGAGTATCTGTTATCTTTGGTGTAAAAAATTTCAAAGTTAAAAGTATACAGAAATATTAAAAATAATAAAACATTTGACATATGTACCATACATATTACATGCCTAGTCACAAGAAAAGGAAGAAAAATGTAATTTGTTTCACCAATTTGTACTAAAGGTTAACTTTATGTAACAGCTGGGAATTTCTTGTTCAGCATTCTCAATCTTTCATGCCTTACTAGTAGTAGTTAGTATACCAACAATGAAGTGTGGAAAAAAAACAAAAAACACTCTTGAAAATGCCTTCATGTTACCTTTACTTACAAATAAACTTTCAAGAGAACTCATTAACAAAAACATTATTATTTTGATTAAACAAAACATTTGGATAAATGATTACATATATAATAATTACATAATTAAATAATTACATGAATTAACACCTCAAACTGTATAAAATTAGATTTCAAAAGATTAGATATACATACACCTAAAAATAATTGGATGTCATTTCACCATAGTTCTTTACAAGCCTCCATACAGAACTGTCTCAAGCAAAGCTTCATCTGTCTGGATTTGAAAATCTTTTTTACCTTTTTCTTCACTCAGTGAATCTAACAAGGAATCTCTTAACTCAACCAGAGAAAATTACAGTAGCTTACTATGTTGGTAGGGTCTTGTCTGCCAATTCAAAAACAAAGAATAAGTTACAGGAATGGGTAGGACACAATCTGCAGAGCATCTTACAGCAATTAAAAAGTTGACAGCTTTAGGTGCAGGTCAATAGTCATATGACAAGCAACAGTCACCTCAGTAACCACCCAGTTACTTTCTTCTTTTTTTTTCTCATTGGCTAGTTCCATCTCTTCATCTCCTACTACATGGTACCTATGACTCTGACCTTTCATGCAAGTCATTTCTTCCTCAGTGTCACTTATTTACTGTCTTTATTCCATTTTATTAGGCTATTTTCTATTTATAACTCCTCATCGTACTGATATCTATTTAATTTCATCTTCTTCTTCTGCTGGCATGTCCTAATCAGCATTAATCAACAGTCATGCCCTTCAACCATAAATTCCTTCTCAAATAAGCTGATGTTTTAACATACTAAAAAACTATGGAATATGTATGAAATGTTTGTTTTAACAGCTGTTAATATCATTAATCTCATACATATTACTTTGAGCCGGTTGCAGAGCCAATTTGTTTTATTGTTTTTTCCTGACTTGTTTATTCTTGATTTAACTATCATAAAAAAATTCCTTCATTATCTTTTGAAAAACTGCTTTAAATGAATTGAAACCTCCTTTGATCTGTTTTGCAGCTTACATTGTTCTCTGGTATTCTGTTTGATTACATCCACACTTGGTGTACTGGTAATTTTGAGACTGATTCCTCTGACATTTATACAGAGTCTAGAATGACTGTTATAAGAGTTTTTGGTTGAAAAGTAGTGTGTTATCAGTGAAACTGCATTAGAAGATTTGATGAACCAACTTGCATCAAAAAACTGCTCCCACTGATCCTACCCAATTCGCTGTATCTACATAAGCAGATCTTTCATTCAGGACTACCCTACACCATTAGATTTGTCATAAAATAAGCTGTATTCTGACAAATTTACAACAAAGTCCCATATTTAACTGGCTAACAGCAATTTAGCAAGCATGCTCTGATTAAGTTATAAATCAATTGTTAATAAATTGTTTATTATAGTGTATTACAATACCCATTATTGCAATATTTTATTGGTTAATAGGCTTTTGATTTACAAAAATTGACATGAATGAAGCAAGATGTGTATTTCTATAATCACCATCACAAATATAAGATGTTTCAAAAAAAATCTAGCTAACCCAGGGAGTGTAATTGTATACATGTATAAACATCATGCACTGCCTAAACACCTTGTTTTTTACCAATACAGAACATAATAATATTCTTTTAGGTTAGTAACTTTTAGATACTGTAATTACAATATTTACTCATAAAAAAATTACACTGCATAGTATAAGCATCCAGATTAATTTTAAAAAGTTACAACTTTGCAGTGGCCACTGATTTTTGATGTGAAAACATTTTCATTAGTAGACCCACATTTCCTTTTATTTTTAGCTTTTTAGTAGAGAATGCTTCTCGAGGATTTAATTTTCCTAATGCAATGTCTGCAAGATCTGAATCCTTAATAGTCACAGTGCAATCAGCAGGTAAGTTATCACCAAAACTGACTGAGGATTTTCCATCTTCCACAATGACATACCAAGTGCCTTCACTTCCTCCTGGTCCATCTAACACATGAAAACAGCATGTTCCTTTGTTCTGGCTGCTGATTTTGTCATTTTGTTGGCTTAAGAATTCCTTTAGTTTGCTGAAAAAAATTCTAGATTTGAATTGGTCTCTCTCCTCTTTGAAAGTGTAAGATCTATCTTGACTTACTGCAGCTTGTTGTGGAAAGCCCAAGGCATACAAAGCCACAACAACAGCTCCACCTAACCCTATATTATGCTGTAGAGCAATTCTTGCTCCTGGTACTTGACGTTTTTCAGCTAGACTTCTTAGCTGCCAACATAGCTCTGCACACTGAGCTATACCTGTTGCTCCCAATGGATGGCCCTTTGAAATCAGCCCTCCACTGGGATTGATCACATACTTTCCCCCATATGTATTATTTCCAGAGTCAACTAGTTCACCTCCTTTTCCAATTTCACATAATCCAAGAGCTTCATATGTGATTAGTTCATTTGTTGAAAAACAATCATGAAGTTCAATAACATCAACCTGTGCTGGTGTTAATCCAGTTTTCTGGTAGAGTGTATCTGCAGCTTTCTTTGTCATGTCAAAGCCTACCAGCTTGATACAGCTCTTTTCTTCAAAGGTGCTTGGAATATCAGTAGCCATTTCCATTCCTAGTATTTCTACTGCTTGTTTCTCTAGCCTGTGTTGATGGACAAAGTCTTCACTTACAAGAATTGCTGCTGCTGCTCCATTAGAAGTTGGGCAACACTGTAGTTTTGTGAGAGGGCCAAAGATCACTGGTGAGTTCATTATTTCTTCCAATGTATATTCCTTCTGAAACTGTGAATAAGGATTGTTTGTTGAATGTTTGTGGTTCTTCCATGCAATTTTTGCAAAGTGCTGTTGTGTTGTACCATATTTCTTGGAATGTTCTAAGCCAGCTCCTCCAAACATCTGTGCTGTCATAGGTGCTGGTTCAACTACCTGAATGGATGACAGAAGTCTAATGTGTTTATCCATTGGATTCACTCTATCTCGAAACTTTGAAGTGAGAGACCCTCTTTCCATCTTTTCAAAGCCCAGTGCCAGTACACAATCAGAAATTCCCCCTTTCAATAGTTGACTGGCCATCAAAAGAGCTGATGATCCTGTAGAACAGTTGTTATGTATATTATATATAGGTATACCTGTCATACCTACCTCATAAAGAGCACGTTGCCCACAGGTGGAGTCACCATACACATATCCTACACAAGCTTGTTGTATGTCATCATACTTTATATGAGCATCATCCAAAGCTTTTCCAACAGCTTCTTTCACCATGTCAGGATAATCTATCTTAACTGCTGTAGGCTTTTCAAATTTTGTCATACCTACACCAACAACAAATACACGTCGAGATGCTAATGACCTCAATGGCAATTCTCCCTTTGGAATTTCTTCACTCATAGTGATTTCTTTTCTAGAAGGAAAAATGTTAAATTAAAAGCATAATAAAGTTTATATTTTAATGGTAAAGCATTCATTCATACAGATTTTCAACCATATACTAAGCAGAAATAACACATATAATCATAGTTTCACCTTTTTTTTTCCTCTTGTATAATTATGACCATGGTAAATATCAAAAATATCATGTACAAGAATGTGATTTCAACAGCAATGTGTGCGTACAGCATATACATGTATCAGTGGATGAAAACACTTGATACAGAACTACAAAACTTGTGCCAAAAGTCAATATCAAAGACTTGTCTTTTCACTTGGAAGAAAAGGGATGACAACCTTCTTAAACTACAATTCATCACTTAAGTCTGATTTAAAACATAAAAAGTGAAAAAGGTTGGAAAATGACACAGGAGAGAGAATAAAAAAAAAAAAAAAAAGAGCTAGACCACAAGATGATAATCAGCACACATTATACCACTAAACCAAGACAGGAACCAAATATTTAAGAATCACAATAATGATCACACCAAAAAAACTTGGCCTTGGACATCTTGAGGGTCTTCTTCCATTAAATCATGTTGAGTTACTTGTTAGCTGCTGTAATAACTACTTGAGAACATAACCCTTGTAATACCACTTGAGAACAAAAACCATAAATTCCACACCAAACAATGTACTAATACAAGAACTAACACAACTATATCAACCATAAAAGTATAAAACTAGCAACAGAAAGAATATTTTACATACATGATGAAACTCATGTCACAACAGTTATTCAATCACCAGAGTACAACAGAAATACTGATAAAACACTGTGGTTCAATACCATTGTGAAACTGATAGAGAGACCCAAATTCAAAGTTCATAAGTCAACTTTATGTATCATTAAATGAATATATGAAACCAAAAAAAGTTATTTCTTGGATGATAAACTGAAAAAAAAAGTTAACATTTTACAAGATAATGCTTAATAAAAAATAAATAACAAGAATGAAATAAAATACACATTCAAACATATAATTTCTACACCTGTTAGAGGGGTTTACAAAGTTAACAAAAAGGACTGCCAATGTTATTTAAAGTACTAATGTAAATCAAAATCTTCAATATTCACCATGTTCAATAGCATGTTGTAATGGGTTAAAATTACAAGATGGTAACACATTAGAACAAAAGGATCATGCTACTAAATTACATACATTTGATAAACCAGGCAAACAAGCTTTCACATATAAAACTCCTTAAAATATATAGAGTATAAGTCTGAAAATTCCATTCCAGGGGTTCTTCAATAAACAAAGTCTTCCATAACCTTAGGCCTGTATAACTGATGAGGTAATAATATTTGTTTGTTTGTTTTGAATTTCGCGCAAAGCTACACGAGAGCTATCTGCGCTAGCCGTCCCTAATTTAGCAGTGTAAGACTAGAGGGAAGGCAGCTAGTCATCACCACCCACCGCCAACTCTTGGGCTGCTCTTTTACCAATGAATAGTGGGATTGATCGTCACATTATAATGCCCCCATGGCTGAAAAGGGCGAGCATGTTTGGTGTAATGGGGATTCGAACCCGCGACCCGCAGATTGCGAGTCGAGCGTACTAACCACCTGGCCATGCTGGGCCAGGTAATAATGTACCTTTTAATAGAATTAGTAGAACTGATACATAATTTGTGACAGGTAAAGAAGTAATTGTTGGATTGGAATGTCACAAGAAAAAGCATCTTAATACACACTAAAGAACTTTTATATGGAAATTGAGTAGATCAGAAACAGAGTAAAAATATACCTTTTACATTTTGACATTAATTCACAAACTAAATATTAATATAAAAACAAACTATCTTCTATGTCACTGTGATGTGCATAAAGTCACTTTAATTTCAATGTATACTGTACACTTCCAAAAAAATATGCTCACAATGCAAGTCTTAACTTTTCATTAAATAGATAAAATATATCTCTAAGCTTCTATTAATATTCAAAATACAGATTTTGTATCAGATCTGTACGATTTATGGTTACCAACTTTCTTTAAACGTTACTGAACAATCATAAACAGTGATGAACAAACCACTCTCTCTTAACTTTGCTTGTATTTTTTGTTCAAATTCCTTTTTCATTTATGTGGAAAATAATGATAAGCACCAGAGGGCCAAGAGAAACTTAAACTTTTATTTGATTTCACACTATAGCATCTTCAGGAGCATTAAACTAAAACACAAACCATAACTGACAGTAAAAAGCTTCTAAACCATAGTTATTTACAGTTTGTGTTTTAGTGGAATGCTCCTGAAGAAGCTGTAAAGCAAAATGTTGAGTGTATAATTAAAGAAAAATAACAAACTTTGATGTTTTAAGGTAATTTCTTTCTAATATTAAAATGTCTTTTATACACCAATGTGCACTGCAGAAATGAGATAACATATTACTGTTAGATTCCAGCATTTGTATGCCATTGCTTCAATATATGTGATGAATTAAACCAAAAGAACTATGGTTCTGATCACACAATCAAACTAAAACAATGAGAAGTTTGGGGGGAATTTTTCAGCCTAGTTTATTTCTAAAGAAAACCAGTTAATCTTATAGAGGATTTATATGAAAATTAAAAGCATAATGGTTTGATAAAAGGAAGCTAGATTTTAACTTTTCAGACTTTTAACACGAGTACTCATATTTGTATTAAGTAATTTATTTGGACTATCACCATGTTTTTTAAAGCATAATAAAACTAAAAACTATAAAAAAATGTGGTGATAGTCCAAATAAATTACTTAATATGAAGCTAGATTTTGCTATTTGTTCATGTTCCATAATTCTACATGTACAGTATGATACTCAAATTTCCATTCTTCTATGGGGGTAGCCTTGAAGGGACAGGCCTTCCATACTCTTCTGTGAAATTATGAGTGAAAGTAAATATGAGTATGTTATAATATCAATTACGAAACTCCAGAAACTTACAAATGGTGAAATACTTGATTTTGAGCTCTCCTAGACTACGTCATACCCCTTTTAAAAATTTTCATTCTGCCTCATTCTGTTTTAAAAATGAATATTCTGTATGTTCCCTATTCTAAACCACTCTCCCTGTAATCACATGGGGAAGCCAGGGAGGGACAGCCTCCCATAGTCAGTTACATAACCCCAAAACACTTCATTTTGGTCGTATTTAGAGCTCCACCAGACTGACTTGTCAACTTTCAAAGACTCTCTTCTTTCCTACTCTAAATGATTCCTCTATAATCATATGAGGGAAATAGCCAGGTTGAGATGCACCCTGAATTGTGTCTGTAGTTTCCCCCTTATTCCATTGTGGACTTTTAACAACCTTGCATGCAATATATTTAAGGAGTACACACACAACAGCAAAGCTGTTTCTCATTTTGAGATGATGGTCATGAGCCAACTTGGAGTAGCTCAGAACTCACCTATTTACATTCACTATTTATAGGTCTTGAGGATTAGAGTGGAGAATAAGCAAAGGATTCATTTTTAAAAAGAGATGAGGCAGTATGGGTTAGCTTAAAATCTCACTATTTCACACTGTTTGCAGGATTTTGGAGTGGACTGTTACTAAGTGGGTTCCCTACAACTAGGGTTACCAGACATTCCAGTTTTTAGCCTTTTTTTTTGTTGTTGTTCTCATTTGAAACAGTACAGTTTTAACTGGTCCCAGTTTCTCTACACCTCAGTGTGTTTCTTATGTATGTTTTGTCATTATACATAGCTCCTTTAAATTTTACTTGGATAATCATCTGACAAAGACAGTTCATGTTCCCTCTCTATCTGCTATGCTTTGCTCCTAAACTGTCATTGGACAGCCACAGGTATTGAGATTTGAAGACCTGTCCAATCGCAAAAAAGAAAATGAAAAAACATTTTATTTTAGCAAATGGCAAAAAGTGTGTTATTATACTTTAAAGTTTAAACTGTTTGAGAGCTGTTACACGAAAAAAAAATATATCAGTTTTTCACCCTGGAAATCTGGTACTGGTAGCCCTGCCTACAACTGAATTATGAGCAGAAACTGAGAAAGTCAATACGAAAAGGTAGAAAGAGGGGCATAAATATAGCAGGAATTTGAGTATTCTAGAACTACAGATACAGAATTATAAATCACGAATATGGAATAAGAAATATAATATAAGTAACAAACTTTAGCTTCCTGTGAAACTTAAGTTCGTAATTTTACTCTTTAAATTTAATCTAACTTAACTAAAGTAACTTGTAAAAACGAGGCTAACTCCAAGCCTACAGGAAGTTCTAAGAACCCATTTGTGAAAGCATAGTACTATATATTAGTAGAATATGATAATTAACCTAATAATAATATCTTAGTTCTAAGATTTTCACTCGCAATATATCTATTTACATTTCGCAGCAGTAGCGATAGTTGTAGCACAGGGGTGGTTTTGTAAAACCTAAACTTTAGGCCTAATCATTTAGTAATAACATGACACATATTTGCTATTAAACGTTTTCATTGCAGCGCCTACATAAAACTCATTCCAACCAAAAGAATAAAAATTATAACAACCCTACCTTTAACTTTCTTATTAAAACAGCACTAAATAAAAACTTTGAACGTATATGTGAGATACAGGAAGTTTATGGTTCATGTGACTAACGTCATCTGTTTCAAATATCCTTCCGCACTAAGATAAAATATCAATATATCAACAGATTTGCTAGTAGTAATATTACAAGGCAAAGAGCGGAGAATAAAATTAAACTTTAGGTAAAATATAACTGGGCTATAGCCCAGGGCCCCTCAATATCTTAATATGGCACTGCTTGTGACTTACTATATATACATGAATTCATGATTTATATTACATGTTACAATACAGGCTTAATTATTTTGATTTTCAGAAATCTTCTGATACTGTACTACACAAAACATTATCTAAGAAAATCATATCTGTGTGAGTAGGGTAAAAACTGTAACTCAGATACTTTTAGTTGTTTCAAAATGGAGTCCTCTAAAATTGGACCTTTTTTTTCTAGTAAAATGCTTCAAGGTCAGTGCTTAGGCCATTTTTTTCATATTGTTACGTCTCCGTTTGTTAATTAACTTTCCGTAACTTCGTTCCGACGAAATTATAACGACACAAGTCTATACTTAATAAAACTGGTTTATTCTTTCCGAATATAACTTTACGATACACTTAATTTCAATATTCGCGCTATAACAAACACTATAACGAACAAACGTTAACTTCAACAATACCCTGTGACTGCAGTTCAATTACTCACTATCTACACACACATTATATTGTCCCGTCACGTTGTCACCCTCTTTTATATACCAGACTACCCTATATCTAGTAAATACTAGAGTATTCGCCAAGGTACAGGATAGTTCTAGAAAATAGGTGGCGCCACACCAGTCACGTGACCTCGATGACTCAACAATATCTATATTAACAGTACTGATAGTGGCATAATTAATCAATCAGTAAAGTTTGTTAGTGACACAAATTTCTGAGGTTTTCTTGCCACATCGATGATGTTAAAGTATTACAGAAGGATTAGAATCAATTAATAAATTAGCTAAAAATTTGGCAAATGATCTTCTTGATGAAACACATACATAACCAACTAAATTGTTTGCATTATAGTAACAGTCTCTGTCTTCTCTGATTATTTTGAAAAGTCTAGTTAGTCCATTTCATTTAACGATAATGAAAGCTATTTATTTTTTCAACTATGTTCTACAGGCTACATTCATTGATAGTCCTAATTTACAAATAAAACTTATCAGTTGTGATATTTTCAGGTCGGGCCCGGCATGGCCAGGTGGTTAGGACGCTCGACTCGTAATATGCGGGTTCGAATCCCTGTCACACCAAGCATGCTCGCCCTTTCAGCCGTGGGGGCGTTATAGTGTGCAGTCAATCCCACTATTCGTTGGTAAAAGAGTAGCTCAAGAGTTGTTGGTGGGTGGTGAAGACTAGTTATCTTTCCTCTAGTCTTACACTGCTAAATTAGGGACGGCTAGCGCAGATAGCCCTCGTGTAGCTTTGCGCGAAATTCATAACAAACAGACAATTTGTAGGTCGAACTGACTTCCCTCACGAGTGATAAGATAGTTCCACAGAATATAACTTGAGATTCAATCAGGATATTTATTACAGAGTAGTTTTGAGTTCTCTGAGTAACTGAATTCATGAAAATGAAATAGACTGGATGTAATGTAAAACCCAATGAATGATCTTTATTTGAAACATCCTGTGTGTGTATTTGCTTCGGGCACTTAATTTGGTAACATCAAACTTACCAATAGTGACTAGTGTACTTACGTTACTAGCCATTCCCATTGAAATTTAAAGGAGGTTGTACTAACACTGAGGCATCACTTGACCTACTACTGGGTGACACTGTTGTCTACATTCATGCATAAGGTGCAGCTTTACAGTCATATCCACCCACAAGTATACCAGATGTATTTATCTCAAAAGTATGACAAAACAACAACAAATGTTGCTAAAGCAACAGTAACTTAGCAGTTTCCTTAACCATGTTATGTGGAAACTGCACATACCGTAACTGACAAATTATGAAAAATACTGTATTAAAATGAGAAGCTAGAAAGTGCACGGTATGCTTATCTACAACACAGTCACTTACTTGTTAAATATCTTTTTATACCTATGACACAATTCGAAAATGGCTGACTAATGCACTCAGTAACTGGTCGGCAAAAAAAGTAAAATATTCACTAATCGACTGACCAGCTCACTGATTGACTAAGTAATTCACTGATTAACTATGTCTTGTTTTATATATCCTACTTTTTCACTTAAAACCTCTTGAAAACTCGAGATGTGAAATCAGATCTAGACATTCAAGAAACCTCTAGACATGACACACCATTATTACATCATTCCAAAAACTCTCTCTTTCCAGTGGTGTAGCAAAGGTGCTCAGCACCCGGGAGCAAAGACACTTTTGGCGCCCCCACCTCTGAAATGTTTGATTATTTGTTTTGTGACTCGTTACCCACTTAATGACAATAACATAAAGAATTAACTACCGCCTTACACAGGCCTAAAATAAAGTCACAATATAACATCTCACGATATCACAACTGTAAACCTAGAACTAATGAAATATAGCCTCTAGGTGTACTTACATAATTTGTAAACCATTTTGATATTTATGTCATCCAGTATGTTCAAAGTCGCATAGCTAGAGTAACCTTTCAAGCATACTGAATAAATTTGTTATATCCCTAGTTTTGAAACGTATTGTTACGTCTCCGTTCGTAAGTTAATTTTCCGTAAATTCGTTCCGACGAAACTTTAGCGACACAAGTCCTTTCTTAAATAAAACTGGTTTATTCTTTCTGAATATAACTTTACGATAC